TCCTACATCTGTGAGTTTGTTTCTGCTTTGTAAATAAGTTCATTTGTAGATCTCTCTCTTTTTTAGGGGGAGCAGAGAGAGCTGCAGCACGGCTTCTAAGAACTTAGTTCCCCGACCAGGGATTGAACCCAGGCCCTCGGCAGTGAAAATGCCAAGTCCTAACCACTGGACTGCCAGGAAATCTCCCAGGTGTGATAATCCTGAGGTTCGTCCATTACTGACGCTTCATTACTTCATTCTCTTTGTGGCTGAATAATATTCTTTTGTATGTATGTACCACATCTTTATCCGTTCATCTCTTACGGACGTTTGGGTTGCTTCCATGTCCTGACTATTGCAAACAGTGAGTGCTGCAGCGAACACCGGGGCACATGTATCATTTTGAATTAGAGTTTTCTCCAGGTGTATGCCCAGGAGGGGGATTGCTGGATTATATGGTAATTCCTTTTTAGTTTTCTGAGGGACCTCTGTACTCTTCTCCACGGAGGCTGCACCAATTTACATTCCCACCAATACTGTAAGCAGGCTCCCTTGATGCAAAGATTTCTTAACGCAGTTGACAAGACACCTTCTGGTCCAGCACCTGCTTGCTCGCCCAGCTTCCCTCTACCCCGCTGACCCAGAACAGCTCCTGCGAGAATACTGTTCTGCGCAATGTACAGCCTCTGCATATGTGACCCCCAAGCTTCCCTGGATGCTCAGCGGCAACGAATCCACCTGCCAAGCAGGAGACGCAGGCTCGATCCCTGTGTCCGGGAGACCCCCTGGAGGAGGACACGGCAACCCGCTCCAGTACTCTTGCCTGGAGAATCCCATGGACAGAGGAGCCTGGCGGGCTACAGTCCACGGGGTCGCAGAGTCAGACACGACTGAGCAGGTAAGGAGCAGCCCGTGCAATCCCCAGCCCCCCAACCTCTCCACCAGCGCCCCCTCTCACCTGTCACTGAAAAACACCTTTTCGTCCCTCCAGTCTCAGCTCAGACACCTTGACCTCCAGGAACCTCCCTTCCCCGACGCCCCCCAGTTGCAGAGGCAGGGCTTCTCTGTGTATTCCTGCCTTTCTCTCTGTGTCCTTCTCCTTGTCTCTCACACGACTCTTTTATTCGTCCCACACGATTCTAATGGCCTGTCTTCCAGCCTCTTCCTTCGAGTCTCCCTACACGGGAGCTATTGTTTGTCCGTGTGACCCTAGCGCTTCAGTCAGGGCTGGCGCGTAGTAATGGCTGAATGAACCCTTGGGATAAGTGCAGGACAGACGTGGATGTGGGAGTTACCCGCACGATGTCAGAGATCGCGCTGCACCTGACCACTTTATTTACCACGCGGTTGATGGCAATGAAACGTGGGTTTAAACACAGGTTTAAGATCCCAGCATCTTCTGCAACGGAAACTGCAGTTCTAGAACTGAACATTTGCAGACAGGCACTGCTAAGAGCGATCTGATACAGTAACGGCTTCTGGCACACGCAGCTCATTTTAACAGATGCCGAGATGACAGACAGAAAGCTGTCAGGTCTGCTCCAGAAAGGAAAATCAGCCGGTTCGTGTTCCACTTGACAAATTAATTTCCTTTGACATTTAATTTGTATCCTCAGGTACTGTAGATTTAAAACTTGACTAGGACAGCAGCAGATTAGAGGAGGGTTCCATTTCACAAAATCAAATTGTCAAGTTATTTTTATTATGAGCAACGTGGTCCCCGCATGGATATTTCAAAATCAAATATGCAGATTATTGACTATTGTAAGTAAAATACAACCTCTCTTATCATTCTGAGGCCTAATGTTGACGGCATGTATCCACTCCCCACAAACACAGGGGAAAGGACAGTGGGAAGTTACAAGTGTGTGGGCCTCAGAACCGGAAAGTTGACTCAAAAGTCCAGATTCTCCGTCTATGATAGGAGGGTCTCAACCTTGGCTTTACGTTAAAATCACCAGGGAATTTTTTTTCCTCTTCTTTAATTCAAGTATGATCAGTTTACAATGTCGTATTCTATACACTTTTGAAGCATATAGAAAAATGATGCAGATAAACATACATATATATTCTTTTCAGATTCTTTTCCCTTACAGATTATTATGACACTGACTGTTGTTCCTTGCTCTATATAGTAGGTCCCTTCTGTTTACTGTATATATTATATAGTGTATGTTAATCCCAACCTCCTAGTTTGTCACTCCCCCACCTTTCCCCTTTGATAACCATAAATTTGTTTTCTATGTCCATGAGTCTATTTTTGTTTTGTAAATAAGTTCATTTGTATCATTTTTTCAGATTCTATATATAAGCAGTATCATATGATATCAGTCTTTGTCTGACTTACTTCGCTTAGTATAATAATCTCTGGGTTCACCCAGGTTTCTGTAAATGACATTACTTCATTCTTTTTTACGGCTAACATTCCACTGTATGTATGAGCCACATCTTTATCCATTCATCTGTTGACAGATAGTTAGGTTGCTTCCATGTCTTAGCTATTGTAAACAGAGCTTCAATGAACATTTGAGTGCATGTATCTTTTCCATATCCTTAAAATCACCAGAGGATATTTTTTTAATACCAATGCCTATTCCCACCTCAGACAAAATAAATCAGGATCTCCAAGGAGTATGGCATGACATCTGCAATTTTTAAATCTTCCAGGTGATTCATGCATAGATCTATTAGCCACGTGGATTTTTTTTTTTTTACTTCTTTAAAATATATAATTGCTTTACAGAATTTTGAGGTTTTCTGTCGAACGTCAACAAGAATCAGCCACAGGGACACCCATGTCCCCTCCCTCCCTCCACCTCCCTCCACCTCCCTCCCCATCCCACCCTTCAGCCTGTCACAGAGCCCCTGTCTGAGTTCCCTGAGTCACACAGAAAACTCCTGTTGGCCATCTATTTTACATATGCTACTGTAAATTTCCATGTTACTCCCTCCATACATCTAGCCATGTGGATTTGGGCACCTAACTTAATATTCCTGGCATATAAATGGAGCATCATAGACACCTGTCACTGTCCTAACCGACCATCAACGTTTTTCTTGTTTAATAACGGTTTTTTTTGTTTTTAGAATCAAGTTTGAAAACAGATTCATACATTGTAATTTATTGATATGTCCTCATAACTGTTTACATTTATCGGTTCCATCTCCCCTCTGCTTTTTCTTTTTTCTTTGCAGATTATTTACTGAAACGATCAGGCCACTCCCTTGTCCTACAGAGTTTCCTGTGGTTTAGAATTTGCTGTTGCCTATCCATGGTTTCACTTAATCAGTTCTTCTTTCCTGTTATTATTTCCTGTGAACTGAGTGTTTGATAAAAGACTTAATCAGACTCAGACTCAATTGGCAAGACTACCTCCTAGGTGATAAGCATACCTCTTTCAGAAGCTCATTCAGCCTCTTTGCCTCTATTTGTGTGATGTGAAGTTACTGATAATCATTACCTGGACCCATTATTTCACTGGGATATGCAAAACAATATCAACATCAATAACCTCAGATATGCAGATGACACCACCCTTATGGAAGAAAGAGAAGTCTTGATGGGAAGAACTGACTCATTGGAAAAGACCCTGATGCTGGGAAAGATTGAAGGTGGGAGGAGAAGGGGATGATAGAGAATGAGATGGTTGAATGGCATCACCGACGCAACGGACATGAGTTTGAGCAAGCTCTTGGAGTTGGTGATGGACAGGGAAGCCTAGCAAGCTGCAGTCCATGGGGTCACAGAGTCAGCCACAACTGAGCAACTGAACTGAACTGATGCAAAACAATGATATTCTGTTGTTTTATCTTCATTTATTAGCTGGAACACTTCTATATAGAGAAACTTCCGGGACTTCCCTGGTGGTCTAGCAGGGATTCTGCACTCCCAATATAGGGGGCTCAGTTCAATTTGTGGTCAGGAAACTAGATCCCACATCTGCTGGTATTAAGGTGAGAAAGTATGACAGGAACATTAGACAACCCCCCCCATGGCCAGCCCCCAAATATGTTCAAACAGGCAAGCATTTTATTTATACACCACAGTCAGCCCCAACAAAAGGCCCTTCCAACCAACAGCACAAAACTGCATAGTGGCACAGTCACACTACAAAATTACAATGGTACAAAAATACATGCTCACTTTAAGGCAGAAGTCTCCAAATATTGAAAAACTGGACATCAACACCAAAAGAAACCAGAGAGGATATCTAACCCCAGCCATTTGTATTATACTTTGGAAAACTGAGTCCCAGTGCAGTTACCTGCATTCCCGGAGTGACACCACTAGTTCCTGCTAATTAGAAACCAGCATCTCTGACTCCTAAAGTCTGGTTTAAATTTGTCCCTTTTAATGTGACACCACCTTTCTGTTCCATCTTAGAAGCACTGCATTGGTCAACCAATTTTATTCCCCAGTTACTCACACTCACAACAAAAGGAAGACTACAGGGAAGAAAAGGAAATTCGAGGTTAAAAATCTTCAGGATTTGAAGGGAAGAAGTAAACTTATAACTCCTCTAAAACAAACAGCTTTCTTTTAAAGTACAAAATTTATTTATGGGTTGCCACTTCCTCCTCCAGGGGATCGTCCCCACCCAGGGATCCAACCCAGGTCTCCTGCATCTCCTGCATTGGCAGGTGGATTCTTTACCACTAGGGCCACCTGGGAAACCACATATATATATAATACACACAAATAAATATATACACAAATTGTGTCACTATTATATCTTAGAGGCATTGTAAGTAAAGATCATTAAAACAAGTAAAAGCTAACTTTCTTGGGCTACGCAAATTACTGGACACTAACATACCCAGCGCTCTCTGAATAATCTTTAAATCCGGGATTCTGCTGCTACCCCAGCAACATCTCAGAGGCTGGCCAGCCTCTCTCCACCTGTCACACACCCCGCCTTCGGCCCCGCCCTCATTAACCCCGCCTCCAGCGTGTTGGCACGCCCCCTGCGTTCAGCCAATAGACGGTGACGCTAGAGGGAGCGGGACGTCCCTCTCAGCCAATGCAGGAGATCCTTGCTGACTCGGTCCCGCCTTTTGCCGGGAGGTCTGCCGGAAGATGGCGGCGGCTGCGGAGCTAACGCTACTGGAGAAGTCTCTGGGGCTAAGTAAAGGGAACAAGTACAGCGCTCAGGGCGAGCGCCAGGTGAGACGCGGAGGCGGCGCGGAGCAGGAGATGGGGACGGGAGCGCGGCCGGCTGAGCCCGAGTAGGGCCGCCCGGGCGGGGGAGGCGGCGGAGGGAGGATGCCGCCCGGCTCCTCCTCACGTGTCTGCGCTACCGGTCTTCTGCGGCCCTGGCTCCCGGAGGGACCGGAGGGAGCGGGAGGAACCTGCTCCGCTCGCCGCGAACTTTCCCTCCTGCGAAACTGTCATCATCGCGCTCTGGGAAAGCGAGGGGGTCCTCAAAGAGCCCTCGGGTTCCCGCTCTGGGAAGGCGAGGGGGTCGTCAGAGAGCCCTCAGGTAGAGCAGGCTGGAGGCCCGGCGTGTGCGTTCAGTGACAGCATTTGCTGTAAACAGTACCTTTAAATCAGAATTCCGCATCGACCGCAGAGGGCAAACGGGGTGCGGAGTCCACCGTGCCAGGCCGGGGGGTACGGCCGGTGGTCGAGGCGGCCGCGCCCCTCTCGTCTCCTCCGGAGGCTTAATTTTTAGCTGAGTGGACACACATTGCAGCTATTTTGGTTACAGTGCTGAAAAGTGCGGCATTGCGGCGTGGACGGCCGCTTGATCCCTTGGTGGAATCCTGTTCTAAGGTCTGATCAAGTTCCTTGTGCAACGTACAAAGATCGAGGGGGAAGTTCCGCGGTCTGAGGTGACCTAGTGAGGCGTAGGAACAGATTTCTAAGGGCTTTGAAGGGCTTCTGTGTTTTATAAAGCTAAGTGGTTGCGGTGGAGCAATGAGTGTGTTAGAGGAGGGGACTGTAGGAAAACAACTTTGAATTATATAATGTTTTTGACCCTTGGAGATTTTTTTCTTGATGAATTTTTTTTTTTCCTGACTTCTTCGGTTCTTCATTTGTTTTTTTGGTTTTTTTCTTTTTTTTTTTCTCTCTCTGATTTCTTTGGTTCTTCAGAAGAACTGAAGACTGCTTCATCTCCAAAGCAGTCGTGTTGTAGTTTTTACAAGTTAGACTGAAGTCTAGAAAGGGTTTCCCAGGCGGCTTAGTGGTAAAGAACCTGCCTGCTAATGCAGGAGACTCCAGTTGGATCCCTGGGTCAGGAAGATCCCCTGGAGTAGGAAATGGCAACCTACTTCTTGCCTGGAAAAATCTGTGAACAGAGCAGCCTGGCAGGCTGCAGTCCATGGGATTGCAGAGAATCACACACAACTGAACACACTCACACAGGGTCGGACATAGCTGAACACACACACACACAACACAGAGTTGGACACAGCTGAACACACACACACAGACACACACACGAAAAGATGTGTGACGTGCCGAAGACCAGCCCACTGACTGGAGCCAGAGAGACCTGCTTTTTCCTTTCTCTCCGGCCTCCCGCTGCTTCTCTCTCATTTGGTTTGTGTTTTTTCCCCCACACGTTTGCCAAACATGAGTCCTGCCTCCAGGGAGCTTACCATCCAGCATGAGAAAAAGTCGTTAGGGGCTCTTTTTAAGCAGAACAGAATAGTTACGAAATGAAGGAAAGAGCTGTTGATGAGTGTGAAAGAGAAAGTTAATTCTGACTATAAAAATGAGTTTGGAAACTTCACGAATAGTTGGTGTTTAAAGTGTATAAAACTAATAAATTATGGTGGACTGCAAGGAGATCCAACCAGTCCATCCTAAAGGAGATCAGTCCTGGGTGTTCATTGGAAGGACTGATGTTGAAGCTGAAACTCCAATACTTTGGCCACCGATGCGAAGAGCTGACTCATTTGTAAAGACCCTGATGCTGGGAAAGATTGAGGGCAGGAGGAGAAGGGGACGACAGAGGATGAGATGATTGGATGAGGCATCACTGACTCAATGGATATGGGTTTGGGTGGACTCCGGGAGTTGGTGATGGACAGGGAGGCCTGGCGTGCTGCAGTTCATGGGGTCGCAAAGAGTCAGACACGACTGAGCGACTGAACTGAAGATTGGGTAATTTGAGGCAACAAGTAGAGCAATGTGATGGATGATGCAATACAAGGTAAACCCAGAATTATAGTTGGAGTCCTAGTTGGGAGGGTTGTGGAGTTTAATTTAAACTTTTTTCTTTTTCTTTTTTTTTAAGCAGAGAGCAGCTATTGAAGGTTTGTTGATGTGTTTGGGGAAAGGGATGATGATGTATGATAAGGTTCATTCATTTTGGGGGGAAAACAACTTACAGTAATTAGCCCACAATAAAGCATTCTCTGCAATAATATCAATAATAATTAAAATTTCAAAACAATCCAGAAATGCAACTCTGGGAGAACCGTTGTTAAATTATGGCACATCAGCACATTGCGGTATTATTTATGTAGCCATTAAAAGTGATTACTTTGAAGACCGTGGAACCTTAAGATGAATGTGAAGTAATATGTGTCCCATGATTGCAACTGCGTAAGGTTTGTCTGCTTAGGCTGTGTGAGTGAAAGAAAATGAACTTTCCAGCCAATTGTACTTTACTGAAATCCTGACTCCCCCATCACAAACCTGGTGAACTTTGTTCTTCATCTGTGAACTGAGGATGAAATTACTTGCCTCTTAGATCTTAGAAGATGTAACGATTAGATGAGAAAGTAACCAGGAATTTTTTGACTTCCTGTGATGGGGTTGTGGATAATTTATTTTTACAAATAATTCTCTTTAGAATTGTCCTTTTCCTCCCACGCTCAGCAGTTGTGAGTTCTTTACTTTCCTCTTTCTTTCCTCTCTGTTCCTTCCTCGCTCCCTCCCACCCTCTCCCTCTTTCTCTCTTTTCCTCTTTCTTCCCTCCTGACCTCCCTGCCTTCCTAGAAGCATGGGCATCTCTTTACCTACCATAAAGTGCTGGAGAAGGAAATGACAACCCACTCCAGTACCCTTGCCTGGAGAATCCCATGGACAGAGGAGCCTGGAGGGTACAGTCCCTGGGGTCACAGAGTCAGACACGACTTAGTGACTGAAGCAACACCGTAAAGTACACACAGTCACAGTCAGGGAATGGATCATTGGCAGCACCCTCTACGAGTTTCATATGTTTTCTTTTTAATGCATTTCTTAAAGGAGATTATTGGTGATCTTAGAAGTGATGGTTTCGCTTGAGGGTGAAGGCAAAAGTGAGAGTTCAGGGAGCTAGGTAGTGAATGGAAATAGCTGGTGAGGAAGTGGAAAGCTGAGACCGCCTTTGGTTACTTCCTTTATTGTTTAGGAGGTAATCTTTGAATCTGTATCCATAAAATGTTAATCTTCCCATATACTTCACATGGTCTTGTTGACCCAGGTTTGAGTGTGAAAGGGCCCTGCATAGAGTAAGTCACTCCGAGTTCAGGAGACCGAAGAGAGCGGGAAAGAGCAGCCGTCTTCTCCTGAAAATGTTCTCTTTCGGTTTCCTGAAGTCGTTTAGATTGTTTACTTGTTCTTTATAATTGGTTGGTCTCCCTATTGGTGATACTTCCCTTTTTCTTTTAAATTTCTCAAAATACTTTGCCTAGTTGTACATCAAAAACTTTTAATTAGCAGTTTCTTATAATCTGATCCTTTGTATTGCTGTTATAAACGGGAAAACTTTAAAAAGTGGAATTGTTTGATGATTACTTGAAGCCCTGACTTTATTGTAGACTTTTATTATCAGTGTACTCATTCTAAGTTACTCCAAAATTGATGAATATGCAATCCATGACAGCAAAATCACCATCACAGTCCATACCATATAATGAGTTAACTAATTAGTTAATGGGGTAACTAATTATATTAGATTACATGTCACTTAAACCAGGCTACAGCTTATTTGGTGGTTCTAGCTGTATCAACATGAATTCAGTGCTCACTACAATTGTTTCTTGTTTTTGTTATTGCAGATTTGGGTTTATTTAAGCATATTCATTCACCTTGCTAAATAGGGTGTGGGTAATCTTGATCGAAATTAATGTGGTATCATTAGGATTTCCATTTTCTATTTTTGTACATGTGTAGTTATAAATAAGGTAGAAATATCATTACTCATTTTTGCAATGTTACTACCAGTTTCATGGCATGAAGCAACTGTTATCAAATGTAAACTAATGTAACTGTTATTTTCCTGACTTTGATTTGTATATAATTTAATATCTTCGTGCATGCATGCTTACTTGCTCAGTTGAGTCCAACTGTTTGTGACCCCATGGGACTCTAGCCCACCAGGCTTCTCTGTTCATGGGATTCTCCAGGCAGGAATACTGGAGTGGGCTGCTATTTCCTTCTTCGGGGAATCTTCTAGACCCAGGGATGGAACCTGGGTCTCCTGCATTATCAAGTGGATTCTTTTACCACTGAGCCACCGGAGAAGCCTATTTAATATCTTAAGAGGATTTTTTAAAAAGTAGTTTAGGATTTAGAACTTACCGGTTGTGATGGTATTTTAAGATTTTTTTTTCTTTTTCTGTTTAAGATTCCAGTTCTTCAGACGAACAGTGGTCCAAGTCTAACAGGACTGACTACCATAGCAGCTCACCTCGTCAAGCAGGCCAACAAGGACTATTTGCTGGGGAGCACGGCAGAGGAGAAAGCCGTGGTTCAGCAGTGGTTAGAATACAGGGTAACTCGAGTGGACGGACACTCCAGCAAGGACGACATCCGCGCTGTCCTGAAGGTGTGGCCGGGTTTCTTTCTATGGGCTGACGTGTGTGTGAACTGCTGGGCTCTGCTTTCCCTAGATTCAGTAACTGAAGCTCTTGGTCTCTTTACTGTTTCCTCTACCCCGAGATACTCTGGACCTGTTACTGCCTTCCCCTGTCTGTACCTGTTACTGCCTTTCCCGGGAACAGACTCTGCCCGGCCCTCGGCTCCTGCCTCGGCTGGGACCCCCTCCTCAGTCACATCCTTGACCAATACCTCTCTCTCTCACAGATGCACTTTCTTATTTAAATGCTTTTCTTTACTAACATCCTGTGCTTTTCCTTTGTAGCACTCAGCACAGTCAATAATTATAGCTTTTTACGATTTTTTTCTTTTATATGATTGCTTGATACTTATTTCCCCCAGTCAGTCATTCTGATTCTCTAAGCAGCAAAGTACTTTCTTAAAGGAAAGAAGGAGTCAGAGTTTGAGGGGGTTGTAGTTTGAGAAAAGCCTGTCCAATTGATGTGAGAATTCCTATTTCCCTCCCTTGAGACTTAATGCTTTAGGATTTGTATTTTCTTTCTAAAGAAATCAAATTAGAATTAAAGAATCTTGTTATAAAATATAAACCATATGTGGCTCTAGAGTCACCAAGTATGAAAGTTTCTAAATAAAATTATTTTTGTTACCTATGTAAAAACAAAGCAGTTTTTTATTAAAAAAGCTTAAAATTTGAAGGAACCTTAGACATCACCCAGACAGCCACGTCATTGCAGGAATCCTTTCTGTCTCCTAATTTTGTGCCAGTTATAAAGTGGTAGTGTCAGTTGCACGAGAAGAGCTCAGAGGACTGAAAGCTTTTCATTTACCATCTGGGGGAAGCGGTTTAAATTCTGTTCCTGACGGACACCATAATAGAACTGGTAGAAAATAAATTCCACATCTTTTTCCTTCATAGGTCTATCATGATCAGCTACCCTTTTTTTAAGTGTTTTTGTTTGTTCGTCGTTGTTTTAATAATTTTATCTATTTATTTGTGTATTTATGGCTGGGCTGGGTATTTGTTGCTGCGCAGGCTTTCTCTGGTTGCAGCGAGCAGGAGCGTCACTCTCGTTTTGGTGAGCAGGCTTCTCGTTGCAGTCGTTTCTCTTGTTGTGGGCTTGGGGGCTCCGTAGCTGCGGTTTCCAGGCTCTTGAGCACAACCTGAACTGGGGAGTCGCACGGGCTCAGTTGCTCCGAGGCATGTGGGATCTTCCCAGGTCAGGGGTCAAACCCACATCTCCTGCATTGGCAAGCGGGTTCTTCACCACTGTGCCACCAGGGAAGCCTTTCAAGTCCATAAATATTCACTTATATTGTCTCTGATGAACCTTTTAGTATTCTATCATATAGTCTTGCCAGCATTTAGTCTGTCCCCATGTAGTTACCAGACTGTGGCTAAATATTTTAACGCATTCCATTTGTTTCCTTACGCTAAACTGTAAGAGAAACTGTTGGACCAAAGCTACATACATTTCTAAGGCTATGTTGCTCATCTCCCTTCTAGGAAGGTGTTTTATTGTAGCTTGGCAGTATGCGATGACCGTGGCCTCTTCCTCAAAACCCCTGCTGACATAGATGTTACCCCTCTTCCTCCTGTACCACCCTGATTTCATGACAAAGCCCAGAAGTGATCTCCTTGTTTACTTTGCTGTTTTTGTGTGTGCGACATTATTAATGCTGTGGCATTTTTTCCATAACACGAGCATTTTCATCATCATTTTTAAAAATTTGCTTACATATTTTCTTTGCCTGTTTTTATACTGGGCTGTTTCTGTTTTTATTACTTTTTAAAAAATCTTGCTATAAGGATATTGTAAAAAGATTTAATATACTTGCTAAAGTTCCATTTCAAAACCACAGTGACTCGGAGCTAAGGTAATATGTAATTTAAAAACAGGCATTGGGCTTCCTTCTTCCTGTGAAGAATCCACCTGCCAATGCAGGAGAAACAGGTTGGATCCCTGGTCCAGGAAGACCCCTGGAGTAGGAAATGGAAACCCACTCCGTATTGTTACCTGGAAAGTCCCATGGACAGAGAGGAGCCTGGTGGGCTCCAGTGCACAGGGCCACAGTCGGACACCACGGAACTCGCCCAGGGAGGTCCCTCCTGCTGAGCAGCAGCTAAGCCCAGGCGCCAGAGCTGCTGAAGACTGTGTGCCCTAGAGCCCATGCTCCACACCTAGAGGGCAGCCCCCACTCTCCGTAGCCAGAGAAGAGCCCGCAGAGCACAGCCAAAAATAAATAAAATTATTTTTTTTAAAAAGCTGACGTTATGATACACTGACATTTGGATCCAGATGAAGGATGTGTGAAAGTCACTCAGTCATGAACCCATGGACTGTACAGTCCATGGAATTCTCCAGGCTAGGATAATGGAGTGGGTAGCCTTTCTCTTCTCTAGGGGATCTTCCCAAAGAATTGTCACTATTAATCTGTTTGGCAGCCCTTTGAGAGCAATGTCTAATCAAATAGAGAATATCAGTGAAGTGAAGAAGTGGAAGTTGCTCAGTCGTGTCTGACTCCTTGCGACCCCATGGACTATACAGACCATGGAATTCCCTAGGCCAGAATACTGAAGTAAGTTTAATAATAGTTAAACAAAAAAGTCAGATAACTCTGATGCCAGTTTGGCAGTGGCATCAGAAATACTTGTTTAAAAAATATATATAATGAACATCAGACTATAGTTCTTTTCTATGAATATTTTGAGTGTGAAATTCTCTGCTTTAAATTTCAGAATAAAATTTCAGAATTCAATTTCTGAAAAATCAGAATTTAATTTCTGAAAATTTTGACTTATATCACTAATCAGAAAAATATTACCTCTTGATAGTTTTTGAAACTCCATTTTAAAGTTTTTATGACTGAAGAGCATCACCTTAAAAGAGTCTTTATAATGAAAACATGCTGTGCTGTGCTTGGTCGCTTAGTCGTGTCTTTGTGACTTTTGAGACCCCATGGACTGGAGCCCGCCAGGCTCGGTTCCTCTGTGTGTGGGATTCTCCAGGCAAGAATGTTGGAGTGGGTTGCCGTGCCCTCCTCCAGGGGATCTTCCAACACAGGTCTCCCGCATTGCTGATGGATTCTTTCCCGATTCTGAGCCACCAGGAAAGCCCTAACTAAAACATAGATATGGACTGTGTTAAGAATATCTACACTACACAAAGCAGTGTTAAATTATTTCAGATTCTTTAAGAGATGGTTCTTAAAATTAATTGTAGATATATTTATTTTATTCTTATGCTGTATCAGACTTGTTTCATATGAAGACATTTGGAGGAAAAAACATTTCCATCCAACAGATTGCTAGGGAATTTAAGTGATAGCCTGTATATACCATTGTGTTTTACCGTTTCTGCCCAGTTTTATTTTGATTCTTATGCATTTGTTTCCTTGTCTATGTACATGTTTCTTTATGTCATCATCTGTACCACCACTTACAATCCCATATTCATATACAGTCTTGAAAATTACTGTCTTTAAATGAAGACTTGGGCATATTCAAAGAGTTCAGATTCAATTCAGCTAACATTTACTGATTACTGAACCACTGTGTGCCAAGCATGTGGCATATGATTTGAGAGTGAAAACAAACTGCTCTCTCTGCAGCTTAAGAAGTTTTTCTAGAATGATTACATAGGAATGTTAATCAGCCTTAATAAAGAAGGAAATTCTGACACAGGCCGCATCATGGATAAATCTTAAGAATATGCTAAGTGAAATAAGCCAGTCACACAAAGACAAATAGTACATGATTCTGCTTATATATACAGCATGTGCAAAATTCTGTGAATAAAATTCATAGGAACAGAAAGCAAAATAGTGACTGCGTGCAAAATTCTGTGAATAAATTTCATAGAAACAGAAAGCAGAATAGTGATTGCCAGGGCCTTGGGGATGAAAGAAAGGGGAAGTTGTTTTAAAAAGCACAGAGCATTTGTTTTCTGAGATGAAAAAGTTCTGAACATCGATTGCACCACAGTGTGGATATCCTTAACATTAAGTGAATTATGCACCTACAGATGGTTGTGGTGGTAAATAAAAATTTGATTAATTTTAACATGTTCAGTTCAGTTGCTCAGTTGTGTCCAACTCTTTGCGACCCAATGAATCGCAGCATGCCAGGCCTCCCTGTCCATCACCAACTCCCGGAGTTTACTCAAACTCATGTCCATCGAGTCGGTGATGCCATCCAACCATCTCACCCTCTGTCATCCCCTTCACCTCCTGCCCCCAATCCCTCCCAGCATCAGGGTCTTTTCCAATGAGTCGGCTCTTCGAATGAGGTGGCCAAAGTATTGGAGTTTCAGCTTCAACATCAGTCCTTCCAATGAGCACCCAGGACTGATCTCCTTTAGGATGGACTGGTTGGATCTCCTTGCAGTCCAAGGGACTCTCAAGAGTCTTGTCTAACACCACAGTTCAAAAGCATTTAATGTGTTACATGTATTTATCTCAATTAAGAAGTTAAAAGTATACATATATAAAAAAATCTAACAAACCAATACCTTATAATTCTCTTAAGATGTAGGAATTGTTGAGGAGCTTTTCATATTTCAATGGAGAAAATAAATCTAACATGAGCATGATTTACAAAATGTCCCCCCATCTCCCAAAAGAAACAGTTGGAGTCTTTGAAATTACCATAGATGGCACTGTGAATATCATTTTCTAATGTTTTCTTATTTCTTTAAAATAAGATGAATAATAATTATCCTGATTTTTAAAATGAGTTGATGTATGATTTGTGATTTCAAATAAATTTCTGTTATTGTCAAAGATTGATTTATTAAATGTCAGTGTTTTATTTTCTAATAGCTTTCTAAATGTTTCAAATCAAATATATAGTTTATTGTTATTGTTTTTTAAATTAATATTTTATTATTTGTTTTTCTAGGATCTTAATTCATATCTTGAAGATAAAGTCTACCTTACAGGATATAACTTCACATTAGCAGATATCCTATTATATTATGGGCTTCATCGCTTTATTGTGAGTATTCAAATAGTTATTGCCTTTTTTTGTCTGCAATGTTCAGAATGCCTTTTTTTCATTTGTCTTGAATTTAAATCAAATTTGCATTTTCACCTTGTCAAATGAAAGGGATTATTTTTATATAAGGTACCTTATGCAAATATTCCTTCCTTCCGTGGATCCATCACACGTGGGAGCTTCCTGTTCCTTGACATGCTTGGTTTTGTTCCTGTTCTTGTTCCTGCTTTTCTCTGTGGCTCCTTCTCTGCCCCCTTTGGACTTGGTCGTCATCCTCACCTGGACCCTGCCATCACCTGTCCACTCCTGCTTTTGTGTCCCACCTTCTGTGCGACCTCCTCTCTCACTCCAGTCTCACTTCCCTCCAGTCTTAACTCCCTGATCCCATCATTACCTGAAGTAATTCAGTTTCTCCCCTTTTTTCAAGCCTGTGCACTTTCTTTCCCATCCAGCCTAGATCGCTGGATGTGTAACTTGAATCCTCAGCTCTTGGTTCGTCCAGATACACGCCTTCAGTTCTGTCTCCCTGCTCAGTTGTGTCAGAGAAATCACGCACAAGCTGTCATTAAGAAGATGAGCATTTCTCCCCTCTGATTAAAAAAATAAAGGACTATATGGAAGTGTGACTCTTGCAAACCAGTGCTTATGTTACATTCTCTCTGGCTTATACAGGTCATGCAGTAGGGAAAGGAAATACTCAGGAGGAGGGAGCTTGTGTGGAAATCTTTGCCAGCAGAGGGAACAAAATCCTAATTCCCTAATGTACCAGCTGCCAGGCTATCTCACTGATTCTGGGTGCCTACAAGGGCCTGTGTTCCCAAGCAGGTTGGAAGTGTTTCATTCAATGACGCGTGTTAAAACGAGGCTTCTGGGAGTACCTTGGTGGCCTAGTGATTACGATTCTGGGCTCTCGCTCCTGTGGACTGAGTTCAGTCCCTGGTCAGGGAAACTGAGATGCCACAAGCCATGTGGCTCAGCCAAAAATAAGTAAACAAAATAAAACTTCAAAAAAAACCACCCGAAAACCTAGTCTTCCATTGACAGTATTCAGTGATCCCTGCCTATTTATATCTCTGTTTTGGGATGTGTATCCTCGTTATATGATTGCAATATTATGATTAAGGCTCTCATGCTCATTTTTTCTGAAACAAAATTGAGTGGAATAATATGTAAATCACCTCACCGTCCCTTGGGGTTCATCAAATGAGTCCACAACCGAAGCTGTTCCTCCACCCTGCTGCACGCACAGGCAGGTCATGTCGGAGCGGGAGACACCGTCTCAAGGAGCAGGCCTCCCAGACAGAGCCTGAGGTGCTGAATGATAGCCCTTCTGAGTTGGGTGTAAATGTACCCAGGTGAGAAGAAAGTGATTTCTAGGTATTAATTTCAGGCAGGGTCGATGGAAGATTCAGCTAGCTTCATGCTCAGGTTCATCCCATAGCTTCTTGTTTTTCTTGGCTGTGTATTTTCACCCTCATATGTTCCTTCATCTCCTTGTTCACATTATTAAAACTTAATATGTCATCAGCGCAATCAGCACGGTCCAGGAAACAGGGAACCTTTAAGTCATCAAATGATCCCGCTGTGTTTTGTTTCAGCGTGAGCCCGGGTTTAGCTGTGGCCTAGTTACTCTTGAGGTCTGGTCTCCCCGGGTTTAGCTGTGGCTGAGTTACTCTTGAGGTCTGGTCTCTTTGATTCCCTCTGAGGAGCATTACGTTGTCCTTCCTTTGTTGCAGTGCCAGTTACTGTGGCCGTCCGTGATCAGCCCCGTGACTCACTGCTCTCTTGAAGTGATTTCACCAGTACACAGCAGCCCCCGTGAACAGGCTGTTACTCGAGATTATTAAAATCCTTTGTAACCTTACATGTGGCTCAACTATAGGATTGTTACCAATTGAAATACATTTGTTTTGGAGTTTGGAACACCAGTGGAGGTATCATTCTTTTAGAAAGAAAGGAGAAGTAAAAAAGAAAGAGCTACGGAACAATCCAGGAACACCAGCTGTGAAGAGTGTCCCAGAGGCAGCGTGGAGTCTGCCGGAAAGCTCGCAGACCAGCATTTCCTCTGATCTGGAAAGGGTCGCTCAGGGTGTTTCTCACATGTCTTCATGGAAAATTAGTGACTAAAGATATTATCTGTTTGGCCTTACAGTTCAAACTGGTTATAGAGCGCCAGTATAAATATGAAGGAATGATTTGCTAGAAAGGCTGAACATCACTGCAGACATACTGGCACGCAGACCAGTAAGAAACAGGAAGTGTTAATTAGAACAATCGCATTGTGTTTCCCATTATTAAAAAAAGAAAAAGGAGAAAGAAAAATTGTCAGCTAGAAAGGGATGGTGGAAAATCAGTCATTAGTAAAATAGTTGATGGGGATCCCATCCCACGAGTTCTGAAAGAATTTAAGCGTGGTGAGAGTCAAGTCTTCTGTTGCTCTGTTTACAGTATGTTTTCCAAAAGAGCAGTGGTGGTAATAAAACCAAAAGGTTAGGTGTATCGTGCTCTTCCTGGAAACAGGTTGTATTCTCGCAAAATGTCCTGAGGGAAAGTGAACAAATTTACAGAGTCTAACATAGATCATCTAATTAAAAGAATCAATGAGGAAGTGTTAGAAGAAACTTCAGAAGCTCTTGGAATGAAAATTGCGTTATGCTGTGGGTCTGTTGTGTTCCTGACACTGGAGGCTGGGAGATGTGTGCCTTTCAGGCTGTAAGGTCCTGATCGGCCACGCGCCGTGTGTGTGGCTGCTGTGACACAGCCGCAGGCCTGGTGGTTTTAAAACAGACACTGCCCTTCCCCCCTGCCAATCACAACTTGAGTGAACAGCTTGAACCTGGATCAAACAAGCGTTACTGTACAGAAATGCTTTCTTTGTGTGTTTTAATTCATTCTGAACGATCACATCTCACAAAACAGCTGAGTAGAGGCTTTTTAAAATGAAAGAGTTCTGAAATTAGTCAGATTGTAAGCAGTCAAATTGGACTCAGCATATGTATCAACAGCTGACATGAAATCAAGTTGGAGTGATACTTGCTACTTCTGTTTGCTTTAGCTGTCAGTGAAGAGGCTTGTTGAATTGGTTTTGAGTTTTATTTATGTGTATATATACATATGTTTGTGTTTGTGTGAAAGTAGGCTTCTTTGGTGGCTCAGACAGTAAATAATTTGCCTAATGCAGAAGACCCGGGTTCAGTTCTGGGTTGGAAAGATGCCCTGGAGAAGGGAATGGCCATCCACTCCAGTGTTCTTGCCTGGGAAATCCCATGGACAGAGGAGGTTGGTGGGCTGCAGGCCATGGTGTCACAAAAGAGTTGGACATGACTATGACCTATCAACAAAACAATAACAAATAGTACTTTGCATGTAGGCTTTAAAATGGAAAGTGAAATTTTATGTAACAGTAGCAATGAGACTCTCACTGCTAGTAAACTGGTCCAACAGAGATAGACATTTGATATCAAAGATGATGTTAACAGATCAGCTATTAGTACAATTGTATCCTAATGTCATGAAGGCAAAAAGGAAGGCTGATGACGTCTCTCCACTTTTCCATTTAAATTGCCTGGTAGTAAACATGAAAGGAAAATACAAGTTCAATTAAACATTTATTGAGAAAATGCTACCTGTCTACCCTTTATAATATTTTCTATTCTGTAATAATTATCAAATACCAGAGTGATTTGTCCTTCAGTGTTGCTGAACTGGTCCCTTAGGAGAGCATTTGCCTGTGGACACAAGTGTATGCAACAAGCAGATGGCTAATGGATTTGCAGTCCGAGAGGGTGACTGACATTTTGTGTGTTTGTGAGCATTCCTACTCAGTTGCATGGAGACTTGCAATGTGTTAAGTAAATGAACTAACAACAGGAGAAGGAACTACACTAGTCTTACCTGGTCCGTGGCTGGCCTGCTGGCCTCTTCTTGCCTGACACCTCTTCATGATTCCAATCCAAAATTTGGCTCGGAGAAACGGCTTCAAGTCGCCTGCATTGGGATCTGAGCCCAGTGAAGTGATCGGGGGTCTGACCCACCGTGTTGATTGCATCTTTCCCTAACCAGGTCTCTGGGCCTCCTTGTAGTGGGACAGTCAATTCTGTGAGCTGCTGCATCCTCTAAAGATCAAGTTCAGCTTTACTGCAAAGAGAATTCAGAATGCCTTTAGTTCATCTGAGGCACACACCCTGGAAATAGCCCTTCCTTCTTCTGTTAAGCAATAATTACTTAACAGTAAAAGGGTCATTGTGCGTTTCTCCAGAGTGTGGTAGAAATCAGCAGCTGTCTGCATGTTTATTTACAGCAGTCATCCAGAAATATGTGTGTGTGTGTGTGTGCGTGTGTATTTGTAGATATGCATGTGTGTGAGTTTACTTTGTATTCCCTTGTCAAGTATGTTAGATGCTGACAAACCTTCCTTATTTCAGATTTGCGAAAAATACTGGAGAAAGAACTATATCTTAGTCTCTCAGAAGCTATTCTCTTCCTTTTCAATAAAATTTAATTAAAAAAAAAAAACCCCTCTGGTCTTCCAGATCCTGACTTAATGTAGACTTTTCATTTGTTGAAAACTTGAGATTTCACTCAGAAGCACGTCTGGTCTTGACGGCAACATGAAAGCCTTAAACAAACGGAGAGCTCGTCCAAGTGGCTGAGATGGTCCACTCCCATCTGAATATGTTGGCGTTGATCCCCGTGGGGCCCCCCAGTTTCTCTCTCCCACTCGAGGGATATTAACAGTTACACTTATGTAATGTCTGTGTTGTGTGTGTCTTTCATCTCTACTTAGGTTGACCTGACAGTTCAAGAGAAGGAGAAATATCTTAACGTGTCGCGCTGGTTTTGTCACATTCAGCACTGTCCAGGGATTAGGCAGCATCTGTCTAGTGTTGTCTTCATCAAGAACAGACTATATACTAATTCCCAGTAGAAGCCACCCGCACCCGCCCAGAAGAGGGAATAACCTGTGTCCAGTGGAAAGTGTGTTTCGGACCAGAGGACTGACGTGAACTGATATGCACCCATTCTCTATTTGTTGAAGTTGGTAGAACTTAAGTACAAATTCATGTCCCAGCATTTTGTCTGTTTTTTTTTAGTTGACATTTTGCAGTTTTTTTAATGTAAAACTTCAACTGCTGTCAAAACTTGAGTTGAAATCAAGTTATCAATTATCTTGGGTTTTATAGATGAAATTTCTGTTAATAAAAGTTGCAAATCAGTGGTTTAATCTTTTAAAAAAAAGTCCTTCCAGTGACTGACATATTTAATGCTAATTGACCTCTGTTATCTTGTAAAATTCATTTTCCCCTTCTGCGTATTTCTAGTAGTTTGTTTATTAACAGCTAGAGTAAATTGTCACCAAGGAAACAAAAAGGGAAGACAGGTGGATTTGTCTTTCGTTATTTATGTGAGCCAGTAAAGGTGGTTGAGAAAAATCTTTTTTGTTTCTTTCTTTCCTGTAGCCAGTATTCATTGAAGTGAAACCAACTGCTGCTCTGCCAGAGAGGAAAGTGGAATAAAATATGTTCCTTTGAGTTAATGGTTCTTTTGTTGGCCTTGGGCTTATTGGAATATGCAGCAGCTAAAAAGGGATGGGAAATTCCTACCACCCTCCTAATTTTGGACTCTGTAACTACTAGATTTTTCTAAACTATTAATAAAAACCAACATAGAAAGACCGCCTGGATACCCTAAAGAACAAACACTCACACACATATTAACAAGCCGATATAATTTATAACTCTTAGCAGCTGAGTCAATAAATAATCAGTGATTGAGAGCTAAAGAGCTCACATTTACAAACTGTAGGGAAAGCGGAGTCTTTGAGCACTTTATTGTGATGTAATGTTTTGGTGCCCCCGCTGAGTCTCACTAGAATACAATTCAGAGTTCAAGTGCAAAGAGCAGAGGCTTGGGAAATGTCCCTCACGTCCTTCTGGCTCCCTGCCGCTTTGATCACACTCTAGCTGCATGCCTGACCTGAAGCAAGTCAGGTAACCACGTTTTCTTAAGATGTAAAACTAAAGATAAAATGTAAAAACAAGGATGACTCTAAACTTGGAGGATTCAAGGAGACAGTGTGTGTGGAAAAGCCTTAACACGCAGCCCCTGGCTATCGGTCAAGCTTTGCCTTTACAAGAGCCCCACCCCTCCTGAGTCAAGAGATTTAATAGGCAGGAGTGTTGAGTATACTGTAATTTGTTGTGTAGTTGCTTTTTGCGACCCCGTGGACTGTAGCCCGAGAGGCTCCCTTGTCCATGGGGTTTCCCAGGTAAGAACACTGGGGTGGGTTGCCTTTTCCATCACCAGGGTATCGTCCCAACCCAGGGACTGAACCCAGGTCTCCCGCATTGGCAGGTGAATTCTTTTTCCCCGAACTACCAGGGAAGCCCATAGACGAAGATAGTTTTTACAGGATTGGGTTTCACAGCTCACTGCTACTTGGAGCCTTTTTCATTTTTACAAAGTAGCCTTTGTATTAGAAACTGTGAACTTGTGTTTGCATATTCAGAGACTGGAGGGCTCAAGTTCATCTTGGGAGTTTGTGAACCACAGAGGGGGGCTTGCTCCATCTGACTTTTCATGCGAACCACTCCCCCAGCTGGGTCTGCTGTAAGCCTTCCACCTTAAGTTCAACTCCTGGGAATCACACCTTCCTCTAACACTTCTCTGGTGTCCCCTGGACCGGGGGAGGTAAGCAGGACAGACAGGATAGAGGAGAGACGGACTAGCCCTCCCTCCCGCCTGAGCATTTCATTTTACTTCAGTATAGGTCCGCTGAGAGGAAAGGGGCGGAGGACGCCTCTTTGCTGAATGGACCCTCTTCCCACTTGTGCCTTGTGAGTCTTAACCCTCTGGGCTTCCTGACATCTGCTAGTCAGTTCTTCATTGCTGAGTTCAACATTGCTTCAACAGGTTATCACCAGGGAATTCCCTGGAGGTCCACTGGTTAGGACTCGATGCCCTTACTACTGAGGACTAGAGTTCCATCCCTGGTCAGGGAACTAAGATCTTGCGAGCCCCAGAGTGCAATCAAACAAAAAACAAACAGATTCTCCCGTACTACTTGCCAGGATGATCTTGGAGAATGAGGATGGAGGAAAAGAGAAAAACCTGTTCCCTCGGGCAAAGATTAAACAATACTCTCAGTGTCTAAATTGAAACCATTCAGTTCCCCTTAGAAAGGCTGCTGGGCATCTCGGGTCATTTCCATCAGGCACTTCTCTGCCTGAAATGCCCTTTCTTTGATAACCTCTTCAGTATTCAACTTTGTCATGTCCTGAAAATCAGGTCCATGTTGACCACCGCATCTCCCATTCTGGCAGTGAACGTCACTGTGCTATTTTTGATCACCTGTCTCCCACCAGATGTTTAATTCCTTGAGATCAGGTACTTTTTGCAGCCGTCAAAAACAATGACTGGCACATAACAGTAGATGCTAGATATGTTTGTTGAAGAATGTAGTATTAAGTACATCTTGAGCTAGCCAAGAAAAGTGTAAGTGCGAGTTGCAATTAGGTACAGGTGGATAGCAGAAAAACCAAAGGATTGTTTTTTTCTCATGTGAAAGAACACAGTCCACAGTTGCTGGTAGGCATCCAGCTACTTCTTCATACAAAACAAGTAGTTTTCTGTTTTCTCAAGTTCACCTCATGGTCCAAGTTGGCGACTGGCTCCAGACTTTAAATGTGTGATAAGATTCAGAGAAGGAAGCCAAGAGGAAGGGCAAGAAGACTCCTCTCCCAGCTGAGTCAGTTCACTCGAAGGACCTTTCCTGGAAGCCCTGTTCAGCAATATCTATTTACACGACTTTACACTCCCCTGCGGGGAGGGAGGCCAGAAATGTAGGTCTTTAGCACACACATCGCCAACCAGAGTAAAGCCTGTGCTCTGTCAGTGAGGAGGAAGGAAAGAAGGGGCAGGCAGGCACAAGGCTGGCTGTCACAGCGAGTAGACAGGAAAGTCTATTCTTCCGTCCTTTGAAGGGGTGCTGAGCAGCTGGCAGCCTGTCCAAGAGTGCTTTACATGCTGTTTCCGGAATTTGTGTACAGACGATTGGATTGGAAACTCTATGAGGGCAAGTGTATAATTGTCATCCACAGAGCCTGTGGATTCTCTGAAAGTAACTAGAAATAATGAGATACCAT